GGAGTACCACAGGGTTCAGTTCTTGGACCGATAATGTTCAGTGTCTACATAAACGACCTCCAGAAGGAATACAGAATAATATGAGCATGTTTGCTGATGATGCTATAATTCTTGGAAAGATAAGAAACTTTGATGAGTGTCATGCCCTGCAGGAAGACATGGACAAAATAAGTGTATGGAGCACCATTTGGCAAATGGAATTTAATGTGAATAAATGCCATGTTATGGAATGTGGAATAGGAGAAAATAGACCTCACACAGCCTATAAATTGTTAAAAATCTTTAAAAAATTCTGATAGAGAGATTGAGGGGTGGTTATAGATAGAAAACTATTACCGGAAAACCACCTGAGAACCACATAGAGAACATTGTGTGAGAGAGCCTATGTTGCATTTTCCAGTTTATAGAAATGCTTGTAAATATTATACATGGATGGTGAAATACTAAAGAAATTGTGCATAATCTTTGTGAAACCATAGCTGGTCTCACCATGAAGCAGTTGTATGGTGTTCATATCTTAAGAAGCACATCAACAAACTGGAAAAAGGTGCAAAGACATGCAACTAAATGGCTCCTGGAACTGAAAACAAAGAACTACGAGGAGAGGTTAGGTGCATTAAATATACCAAACTAGAAGATGGAAGAAAAAGAGGCGATGCTCACTACGTACAAAATATTAACGGGAATCAACAAAAATGACAGGGAAGAATTCTCGAGACCTGGAACTTCAAGAAAGAGGTCATAGATTTAAACTAACTAAACAAAGCTGCCGAAGAAATAAGAAAATTCACTTTCGCAGAGTGGTAGACGGTTGGAACAAGTTAAGTGAGAAGGTGGTGGAAGCCAAAACCATCAGTAGTTTGAAAGTGTTATATGACAGTGAATTTGGAAGATAGGACACCATGAGTATAGCTCTTATCCTGTCACTACACTCAAGTTATTACACACATGCATACAGGGAGCCGGTCGGCCGAGCGGACAGCACGCTGGACTTGTGATCCTGTGGTCCTGGGCGCCAGCGAGATACAATGGGCAGAGTTTCTTTTACCCTATGCCCCTATTACCTAGCAGTAAAATAGGTACCTGGGTGTTAGTCAGCTGTCACGGGCTGCTTCCTGGGGATGAAGTCCTGGTCGAGGACCGGCCCGCGGGGACACTAAAGCCCCGAAATCATCTCAAGAAGAAGATGATGCATTACCCCATCACCTCCCACTACTCTCACCTCCCCCCATCCCCACCATTTCCACCCATCTTCCTCCTGGACTATCTACCTTCATCATTTCCTTTTGGATAATTAAGCTTGATTTGATTTTTCACTAACTTTTCAGAGTTCAGTATTATATAACACTGCACAATATTAAAAAAAAAAAAAAAATCAGGTAACTTCCACTACAGAGTTTTGAATGCTACCTCAGGTACTCATCTATATGCTGAATAAGGATAAGTAAAAATAAGTCATTTAGATAACTAAGCTCAATTTTGTATTACTTTCCAGGGTTTAATAGCATAATACAGTTATCACTGGTTTTACATATGCTAGCATTATTAATGTGGAGTTAATAAATTTAGCAGTTTTATATAATTTTTGAATACTGTACCCCTAAAAACTGCAAGTAGAAATCATCTCATTATACACATATTCCAGTAAACGGTATCTTTTTGTTAAATTAATTAAATTAAATTAAATTAAATTTGTATTCAAAAGAATGTGTGTACAAAGAAACATAAGAGAAATGTACAATTTTAAGGACAGGAGTTACAAGTAGGGGATGGCTCGTGCGAGGGGCGGCGGCGGCTCGTGCGAGGGGCGGCGGCGGCTCGTGCGAGGGGCGGCGGCGGCTCGTGCGAGGGGCGGCGGCGGCTCGTGCGAGGGGCGGGGAAGGCTCGTGCGAGGGCGGCGACGGCACGTGCGAGGGCGGCGACGGCACGTGCGAGGGCGGCAACGGCACGTGCGAGGGCGGCAACGGCACGTGCGAGGGCGGCGACGGCACGTGCGAGGACGGCGACGGCATGTGCAAGGACGGTGACGGCATGTGCAAGAACGGTGACGGCATGTGCAATGATGGTGACGGCATGTGGGGTAGGGAAACGAAGGCACGCCGGGTAAGGAAACGAAGACAGGCCGGGTAGGGAAACGAAGGCAGGCCGGGTAGGGTAGAGAAACGAAGGCAGGTGGGATAGGGAAGAAAGGCAGGCAGGGGGAGTAGGGAAGGCAGGCTGGCAGGCAGGGGGAGTAGGGAAGGCAGGCTGGCAGGCAGGGGGAGTAGGGAAGGCAGGATGGCAGGCAGGGGGAGTAGGGAAGGCAGGCTGGCAGGCAGGGGGAGTAGGGAAGGCAGGCTGGCAGGCAGGGGGAGTAGGGAAGGCAGGCTGACAGGCAGGGGGAGTAGGGAAGGCAGGCAGGCAGGCTGGGGGAGTAGGGCAGGCAGGCAGGCTGGGGGAGTAGGGAAGGCAGGCAGGCAGGCTGGGGGAGTAGGGAAGGCAGGCAGGCAGGCTGGGGGAGTAGGGAAGGCAGGCAGGCAGGCTGGGGGAGTAGGGAAGGCAGGCAGGCAGGCTGGGGGAGTAGGGAAGGCAGGCAGGCAGGCAGGCTGGGGGAGTAGGGAAGGCAGGCAGGCAGGCTGGGGGAGTAGGGAAGGCAGGCAGGCAGGCAGGCTGGGGGAGTAGGGAAGGCAGGCAGGCAGGCTGGGGGAGTAGGGAAGGCAGGCAGGCAGGCAGGCTGGGGGAGTAGGGAAGGCAGGCAGGCAGGCTGGGGGAGTAGGGCAGGCAGGCAGGCAGGCTGGGGGAGTAGGGAAGGCAGGCAGGCAGGCAGGCTGGGGGAGTAGGGAAGGCAGGCAGGCAGGCAGGCTGGGGGAGTAGGGAAGGCAGGCAGGCAGGCAGGCTGGGGGAGTAGGGAAGGCAGGCAGGCAGGCAGGCTGGGGGAGTAGGGAAGGCAGGCAGGCAGGCTGGGGGAGTAGGGAAGGCAGGCAGGCAGGCTGGGGGAGTAGGGAAGGCAGGCAGGCAGGCTGGGGGAGTAGGGAAGGCAGGCAGGCAGGCTGGGGGAGTAGGGAAGGCAGGCAGGCAGGCTGGGGGAGTAGGGAAGGCAGGCAGGCAGGCTGGGGGAGTAGGGAAGGCAGGCAGGCAGGCTGGGGGAGTAGGGAAGGCAGGCAGGCAGGCTGGGGGAGTAGGGAGGCAGGCAGGCAGGCTGGGGGAGTAAGGCAGGCAGGCAGACTGGGGGAGTAAGGCAGGCAGGCAGGCTGGGGGAGTAAGGCAGGCAGGCAGGCTGGGGGAATAAGGCAGGCAGGCAGGCTGGGGGAATAAGGCAGGCAGGCAGGCTGGGGGAATAAGGCAGGCAGGCAGGCTGGGGGAGTAAGGCAGGCAGGCTGGGGGAGTAGGGCAGGCAGGCAGGCAGGCTGGGGGAGTAAGGCAGGCAGGTAGGCTGGGGGAGTAAGGCAGGCAGGTAGGCTGGGGGAGTAAGGCAGGCAGGCTGGGGGAGTAAGGCAGGCAGGCTGGGGGAGTAAGGCAGGCAGGCAGGCAGGCTGGGGGAGTAAGGCAGGCAGGCAGGCATTCTGGGGGAGTAAGGCAGGCAGGCAGGCTGGGGGAGTAAGGCAGGCAGGCTGGGGGAGTAAGGCAGGCAGGCAGGTAGGGGAAGTAAGGTAGGAAGGCAGGCAGGGGGATTAAGGTAGGAAGGCAGGCAGGGGGATTAAGGCAGGTAGGCAGGCAGGGGGATTAAGGCAGGTAGGCAGGCAGGGGGATTAAGGCAGGTAGGCAGGCAGGGGGATTAAGGCAGGTAGGCAGGCAGGGGGATTAAGGCAGGCAGGCAGGCAGGCTCGGGGAGTAAGGCAGGCAGGCAGGCAGGCTCGGGGAGTAGGCAGGCAGGGGGATTAAGGCAGGTAGGCAGGCAGGGGGATTAGGCAGGGGCAGGCAGGGGGATTAAGGCAGGTAGGCAGCAGGGGGATTAAGGCAGGTAGGCAGGCAGGGGGATTAAGGCAGGTAGGCAGGCAGGGGGATAAGGCAGGGGCAGATTAAGGCAGGTAGGCAGGCAGGGGGATTAAGGCAGGTAGGCAGGCAGGGGGATTAAGGCAGGTAGGCAGGCAGGGGGATTAAGGCAGGTAGGCAGGCAGGGGGATTATGGCAGGTAGGCAGGCAGGGGAATTATGGCAGGTAGGCAGGCAGGGGAAGTAAGGTAGGCAGGCAGGGGAAGTAAGGTAGGCAGGCAGGGGAAGTAAGGTAGGCAGGCAGGGGAAGTAAGGTAGGCAGGCAGGGGAAGTAAGGTAGGCAGGCAGGGAAGTAAGGCAGTAAGTAAGTAGGAAGGCAGGCAGGCAGGGGCTCGGGGAGTAAGGCAGGCAGGGGGGGGGGCAGGCAGGGGGATTAAGGAAAGCAGGGTAGTAAGGATGGAAGGCAGGCAGGGAGGTATGGAAGGCAGGCAGGGAGGTATGGAAGGCAGGCAGGGAGGTAGGGAAGGCAGGCAGGGAGGTAGGGAAGGCAGGCAGGGAGGTAGGGAAGGCAGGCAGGGAGGTAGGGAAGGCAGGCAGGGAGGGAGGTAGGGAAGGCAGGCAGGGAGGGAGGTAGGGAAGGCAGGCAGGGAGGTAGGGAAGGCAGGCAGGGAGGTAGGGAAGGCAGGCAGGGGGTAGGGAAGGCAGGCAGGGGGTAGGGAAGGCAGGCAGGGGGTAGGGAAGGCAGGCAGGCAAAGGGGTAGAGAAGGCAGGCAGGGGGGGGGGAAGGGAAGGGGTAGGAAGGCAGGCAGGCAAGGGGTAGAGAAGGCAGGCAGGCAAAGGGGTAGAGAAGGCAGGGAAGGGGTAGAGAAGGCAGGGAAGGGGTAGAGAAGGCAGGGAAGGGGTAGAGAAGGCAGGGAAGGGGTAGAGAAGGCAGGGAAGGGGTAGAGAAGGCAGGGAAGGGTTAGAGAAGGCAGGCAAGGGTTAGAGAAGGCAGGCAAGGGGTAGAGAAGGCAGGCAAGGCAGGGAAGGGGTAGAGAAGGCAGGGAAAGGGTAGAGAAGGCAGGGAAGGGTTAGAGAAGGCAGGCAAAGGGGTAGAAAAGGCAGGCAAGGGTTAGAGACTGCAGGCAGGGGATATGAAAGAGAGCTACAGGTTAGGGAAGAGTGGCAGGCGTGGCAGAGAAGGCGTGGTGGGGTTGGCGGGAGAGGCAGCACCTGTGGTGACCGCTTTGTTTACAAACAACCTCCCCCTCCCCCCCACCGCCCATTGCCTGCCCTTTGTTCCTGGGTGACATGTGTTTGCTAGTGTTACCGCCCCCGGAGCCCCGCCCCCGCTCTCATCCCGCCCTCCTCCACCTACTCTTGTCCTCTCGCCCACCACCAAGGTAAATAACTGAGGAAAAGGCGGGAAATTAAAAGGAAAAAATGCGTCGGGGAGAGAACCTGCTTAACACTCACTCGTCTCCGTCCGGACAGATGCCAGTGTTTTCATCGAACTTGTTGCAATAGGCATCTGGGGAGTAGTTGAAGGAGCCATCCCGCCTCCTGATGGGCCGTCGCCGCCGTTGGTTGAGGAAGTGCCAGTGAAAACACGTATAAGGGCGATGCTGTGTGCACTTATGCTGCAAGAAGAGCGAACACTGCTCCACGCGGAATTCCTTCAAATATCTGGAAAGAATCGCGCGGAATAAGCACAAAAACTACACACTTAAACTCTGCACTAAATTTCTCACTTATTCACACACTTTCCCGCTAATTTAACGCTCACATACGTATAATGTATAGGTTTTTCCGTCTGAGTAGCCCATAGGGCTTTGCTGTCTTGGGACTTCATTTTGTTTGTTTTCGTGAGACTGCGCACACGGTCTGCGCAGCTCGTGACGTCATCGCTAGTGAGTCAATGCAAGATATATAATATTGTGACAAGTTGTATCCTTGTTAACATTTATTATTAACATTTAACGAAATAACAAGACCTTTAATATATAAAAAATATATTTTTTATGTTCCTGGAGTGAGAAAAATATTTAAATATTTTTACTTGGTAAGAAAATACTATTGATTTTCACATGGAGAGGGCGGGAAGTGGAGGAATTGCGTCTCTGTGTTGTCGTTTCTATTGGACCTATATAATGATCTCGTCTTGTTCTTACAAACCGATTATGAGTAATTTAATAACTACAACGAATGTAAAATAAAAATATGATGCCAGCCTCGAGTACAAAATCCATAAACTACAAAGTCTTCCCCGATACAGATCCCCAATATATTAATATAATATAAATTCTATCTAGAACAAAGGATATTCACAGAAAGGGACAATGGTATTCCAAAGAAACTGAAAACATTTGACATAATACTTCAAACATATTGTTTTATGTTGGCAAAGGTTGATATTTGATTCCTTGTATTATTATTCATTATGTTGTTGTTGTTGGCAACTGCTGCGAGGAGTCAATGGGTCCACAGGAGTCATCATTCCCTTATCTTCACTTATTTATTTTGCTTTAATGAATGTCCTGCGAAGTCTTAATTTATTTTTGATGTTTCATATAATTTGAGACTGCTCAGATTAATACACGATACATCTGTAGGAAGACAATAAGAGAGATGAGCCATGTATGACCGTTATACCCTGTAATGTCCAAACGTCCTCTACAAAAATGTTTCCTGGAGGCTATATATAGGTGGAGGAAGACGGCAGGTCGACACGGGAGACATCTCCCGTCACGCAGGGTGCAGTCGCACCTCCACAGATCTCCAGTATCATCTATTGATACTGGTAATGGCTCAAAAGGGCCACCACTTACGGGCTATTCGTGCCCGTGCCACTTTTTGGGTGGCTTAATCTTCATCATTCAATCAATCGGCAGATCGAGACGAGATGCCACTACTTTGTATTTAGTATATTCAATTTTAGTATTCAACTATAGTGTACTTATAATAGTATAGTAAGCAAGCTTTTCATCTTATAGATTTCTTAATTGTTTTTTTTTTTTTTACTTTTTTGGTCATCTATTGTTATTAATTATTCTAGTTAATTTTTTACATTCCTAGTTCCCATTAAGTTTTTTTTTTCTTTTTACTTAAAATTACCATTAAGTTTATTTTACTTTAGAATTTTTAATCTACTTTTTTCTTTGTTTTCGATTTTGTAATTTGCCATTCTTGCCTTGTTTTCCTGCAATCAGCCTTTTTATGCAGACAAGTATAGACCCAGAACTAAACCTCTTATCCACTATCTATGACAATCATCACTTCAATGATCAAAATTGCAGATATTTTACAGCACATGATGTAAACAATGTATTAACAGATAATCACAATATCTCTGTAATCAACTTGAACGTTAGATCCCTAGGTAAACACTTCGATGATGTTAGTGCCTTGATTGAAACTATTGACAACAAATTCTCTTTTATTATACTTACTGAAACGTGGTTGAAAGAGGATAATACTCAACTCTTTAACATGCCTAACTACTCGGCAATTCACAACTGTCGTCAAATGCAGAGAGGTGGTGGTACTGCTCTTTACTACCACCAAGAACTAACATGCTTAAAAATAATTAGAACTAGAGACTGCTGTGGGGAGTATATCTTCGCTAGTTTCAGAGTCAAGGGTGCCGAGTCTGTCCTGTCTGTGGGTGCAGTTTATAGAATTCCTAACACTGATGTGTCTGAACTCAACTCAAACCTTAGAAATCTAATACTAGATAACAGATTGAACAAAAACCATCTAATTATCGCAGGGGACTTTAATATTGACCTCTGCGAGCCTGAACACCCTACTGCTGTTAGCTTCCTCAACTGTATGAATTCCTGCTTCCTCATACCCTTAATCACTAGACCAACTAGAATCACTGATAGTACTGCTACGACTCTAGATCACATCTGAACCAACATAACCTCTCCGCTTACTTCAGGTATAATCACCGATAGCACTACAGACCATTACCCCACATTTCTCTTAACTAACATTAGCAAACCACCTCTAGAGACAAGGGAGTTAAGCTTTAGGCTGCACAATGAAACTGCTATAAACAATTTTATAACTGCTGCTGATAATGTCAACTGGGAGTCCGAGTTAGGTAACATAGGGGACATCAACCTAGCAGTGCAATCTTTTCTTCAAACAACTCTTAGCCTTTATAACACCCACTGTCCTATGCTTACAAAACAAGTCACAAGCAAAAGACTTAACAATCCTTGGCTTACAAAGGGAATACTTAAATCCATTAACAAAAAACACGACCTTGAGAAGAAGTATAGGCTAGGAACAGTCTCCAAAGAATTCTCAAAGAATTACTCGTTATTGCTATCTAAAATAATTAGACGAGCCAAAACTAAATACTATGAAGATAAATTTACCCAAATAAAGAGCAACATTAAAAAAACTTGGAGCACAATTTCACAAATATTGGGATCAAAGAAGATTTTAAATAACAAACCAACACTCCTTTCCAATAACGATGGTCAGCTTTCAGCCTCTGATTCTGCTATTGAGTTCAATAGGTTCTTCTCTTCCATTGGGTCATCCCTTGCAAATGATATTCCATCTTCCTGTACTGATGTTAAGGACTATCTTACAGGTAACTATCCACAGTCTCTGTACCTAAAGCCTACTAGTTCCACTGATGTCAATGAAATAATCCTTTCCCTTAAAACCAAGTCTAGTGCCCTCGAGGAGATACCAACTTTAATTTACAAAAAAGCCTCCATATCTTTAGCCCCTACTATTGCATTGCTCTTCAACAAGTCACTTGAACTCCAAACCTTTCCAGACATTCTAAAAAAAGCAAGAGTAACCCCTGTCCACAAATGTGGTGATCTCACAGATGTTAACAACTACAGACCTATATCAATCCTGCCTAACTTATCAAAAATATTCGAAAAGCTAATCTACAAGCAGCTTTACTCTTTTCTAGCCAAACACAATATACTTAGCTCTTGTCAATATGGCTTCAGACCCAAAAAAAGCACTAACGATGCACTTATTAGTATGATTAACTTAATTCACGCAGCTCTTGATAAAAAGGAGTTTCCTGTTGGGTTATTTGTGGACCTGCGTAAGGCTTTTGACACTGTCAACCATCAAAACCTTCTTCTTAAATTACATCATTATGGAGTCAGAGGACACTCCCTGCAATACCTCAAATCTTATCTTACTGACAGGCTCCAGTATGTTTCTGTGAATAATACTATTTCTCCCACCCTACCCATCAACATTGGTGTTCGTCAGGGCAGCATACTTGGCCCTCTCCTCTTTCTCATCTACATTAATGACCTTCCAAATGCCTCCCAACACCTTAAACCAATTCTATTTGCTGACGACACAACCTTCATTTACTCCAGTCCTGACCCCCTTGCTCTAAATGCCACAGTAAATACTGAGCTAGAGAAAGTCCATCTTTGGCTAACCGCCAACAAACTCACCCTTAACATTGACAAAACCTTTTATATTCTGTTTGGCAATAAATCCTCTAATCAGATAAATCTCAAAATAAACAATACCCAAATTTGTAACAAATTAGATGACAAATTCCTTGGCGTTCTCATCGACCACAAGCTGAATTTCCAGGGTCACATTCTAAATATATCAAAAAAAGTTTCAAAAACTGTTGGCATTCTTTCTAAGATCAGATATTATGTACCCCGCCCTGCCCTGGTGACTCTCTATTACTCCCTCATCTATCCATATCTCAACTATGGTATTTGTGCTTGGGGCTCTACTACCCAAAATCATTTACGTCCTCTAATTACTCAACACAAAAGTGCTATTAGGACAATATCCAACTCTGGCCCCAGACATCACTCGGTACCCCTACTCAAATCTCTGAATATGTTAGACATTAAGTCACTGCACATTCTCTCATGTGTATTATACATATATAAAACGCTGAACTGTAATGCCAATCCTGACCTCATAAGCTTCATTGAAGGTTGTAACAGATCCCATGAGCACCACACCAGAAACAAATACAGTTTGATATTCCAAGAATACGACTTAATCAAACTAGAAATGCTCTACAAATCAAGGGGCCCAGAATGTGGAATGACCTTCCCAACCATGTTAAAGACTGTACCTCTCTCAACCAGTTTAAGATAAAAACGAAGCACTACCTAATAAATTCCCTGTAACTAATCTTACTCCTATATTGTCAACCCATGTCTGTTATTTTTTTAACAACGCTGTTTGTCGACCTAATTGTATTTGTGCTGCTTTTCAGCCATGTTCCCCCCTTTCTTATTTTTATTTGTTCTCAACACATTTTATACTTTAATCTCAATTAGTATTAAGTTTTAGTCTTTAATGTTTTTCCTGCCCGAAACGCTTTGCATAATAGTGGCTTTAGGCATTGTATGTACTAGCTCTATCTATAATCTATCAATTTTGTAAAATCTCTTGTATGTATGTACCTTACCTGAATAAACATTTATTATTTATTTATTATTTATTT